GTTTCGGACCCAGGACCTACTGCTTCTCAGATCACTGGCCCAATCATTGAATCCTTGATGAAGGAGAAGCTGATATTAATTACCTGCTGACAATGAACCTCCCTTGTTGAAAATCTATTCAAAAGAGAAGTAGTTTATTATTATTTCTCCCTAGTCACTTTAAACTAAAAATTATCCACGAATTTCATGACATCCATCAATTTGTTTAGTAAAATTTAATTTCTTTCAGAGGGTATGACCTAATTGTTCTTCTGCATTCTACAGGAACTTATCATTCACTGAAATCAACCCGCAATTTAATTAAAAAAAAAAAACAATTATCAGCAATGCCTTAGAGAAATTACCACATTGCTCAAACCCCGTTGATAAGTATGAAATTGTTTCTCTCATTACCCATATATTCATTCATAGTAAATTCATGCCAGTTTATAAAAGTCATTTGAATAATCGCATCAGGAGATTGCCCTGTCATTAAAATGAAGTAGATGTTTATAATCATAATTAATTGCATAAGATAATAACAAATATAACATTTTGAAATATCCGGCCTGTTTAATACGAAATAATAAACGTTTTTAATTGAAACCAGTGTATGCCTACCAAAGCAGAAGGGCGCGGCGATTGTTGATGAAGAGTTCTGGTTGCAAAGCTGTTTTGGTAGGGAAAAGGCAGAAGGCATGAACTGTATGCTGGGCAGATTATGCATCTCACAGGCCAGGGAAACGATAGTCGTATTTTGTACAGGGAGTAATAGATCTCCTCTCGGTCGATGTAATTCTATCACCATCTCGTTCGGGCAGAGCTCCGTGAGTAATTACCGATCATGCTGAGATGAGGAGATAATTGAGATGAGTAGAACACTCAAACGAATTCATAAATGAATTGGGATAGCGCGAGCCAACCATTATATCAGCGATATACAGATAGAGGAGGCGAGTGATACCACTTAACGCGGTGCGCGAGTCACATTGGTAAATAGTGGCGGTGGAAAAAGATATTGACTATACTGCAAAAGAAGAAAAAACAGGAGAAAAATGAGAAAAGCATCGTCTCAAAACAGTTTTCGATCAAAAGGGGAAAAATGCAATGATCATATGAAAGGAAAGATGCCGTATAAGATGCTCTGGAGCCCAAAAGTCATAAGATATCAGATATGTTGTGTGCGTACGTGTGCGTTTATATTCGTTTTGTTGGATGTGCTCTGTGTGTGCGTATTTGTGTTTGTGTGTAGGTGGGGTGGGGTGGGATGTGGGGATTTGTGAACATGAACAAATGCACTCATCGTCCTCAAGAGTGTGAGTGTAAAATAGAACGTGTCTGTGTGTAGGCGTGTATCAATCAATCAGATATGATTATTTACGTCTAGGGACCGATTTTTAACGTCACAATCCAAAAGACGTAACTCAGTTTCGAACCTGCGTCCTCGGCTGAATCAGTTTGTAACTTCCATTATTAGCTGGATTACAGGCGCACGCCACAACGCCCCGTCAAGATATAACCAAAGCTCTTTATATTCCATTATAAGATGATGAAGCGGATCCTAATTAAATGATTGGTTGAGAGCGTACACGTGACCAGGCATTTATTTTGCCTTACACGTAATTTTACTAATGACCGGTCATTAATAAAAAATAAAAAAATAATCATGTTATAAAACACTATTTTATAAAACAAATGAAAAACATCATATTATAAAACAAATAATACACATCATTTATTTCGGTCATTAGTAAAATTAGCCACACTCGGTACCTTCGAAACAGTGTTAGACTGTTCGGAAGGTACCTTGTGTGGTTAATTCTTACTAATGCCCGCATTGCTGTGTATTATTTGTATACTACTCCACTTCATAGTGTAGGCATAAGTGTACGAGGGAAGAGGGGGTATGTATGATGCACCCCTCCCCCATAAATATTCGCCACCGATGACCTCATAATCGGGAGATCACGTTTCATTTTGTTGCTTTCCAGTCTCATTAGGTGAATTTTTATACAATAAATGTCTGTCCTTCCTGGTAAAGCCAAAAGGCAGGCAAGACTTAATTTCATTAGAACGTTATCCTTATTCTTTGGGGGGGGGGGGGGGGAGCACTAGAAGGAGGAAAGTCCTTTGCGTCACTCTTTATCCTTTATTCTTATCACAAAAAAATAATCACCGGTGCAAGAAGTAAGAGGTAATGCTAAATATCCGAAATGAATAAATGATTTATTTTTCTATCAAAAACATATCTGTATTATGCGTTGCTCATGACTGCAATACATAACATAAAATATATTTAGTAGGCCTATACATAAATGTATAAACATAAAATATCAACCCAAAAAAACTTACATTGAACGTGACGATATGAAAGGACAGAATATGTTTTTACAGCAACTCAATGTTTTTCCAACTATTATCAAATGATATCAACTTTTTTCAAATATATGTAATGTTCTAATGAATCATAATATCCTTACACGCATTTAAATCCAATTATTTAGATAATTGAATTATCTTAATAGTTTGGTCTTAATGGGCCTAGATAGGGCAACATCAAGTAGAGTGTACAAGTCGTTTTCACAGCATCGGATACAGGAGGAATATACACCCCCCCCCCACACACACACACATACACACACACACACTGCTCCTCCTAGTTTGCAGGCACACACTCACGTCAGTCGTTGTGCGTAAACAGTGTCTGCACTTTGAGACTAGGCTGACTGCAATTGTATAAGCTCTGTACTTAATTAGCTTCTCCCGACATATTTGACTTACTCGACATAGTAAGAGACTGACAGAGATATAGGCTCTGCTTAAGGCTTTAGTAATTGTTTTAAAATGTCAAATTAGAGTCGGTGTTTGCAGACAAGGCTCTTCCCATTTTGCATGGATAAAGGAAATAAGTGGAAAATTAACATGATGAAAGTATACCCATTATCCAGCAGTAGTCCCACATTCCTCAGATAGCAAGAGAGGTACTCAAATCAGGGAGTTGATTAACTCCCTGCTCAAATAAAGGGGAATCGCTTTCTAGTGTCTTCAGAACTTGTGCTCTTTTCAACCACAGTTGTAAACATAAGAAGAGTGAGATATGCTCAACATACCTATTCTCGTTAACATTGGAAAGTGTATTCCAAAGTTCGACCGATGCAACCTGAAAAGAGCGAGACCCGTAGAATTTAGTATTTATTTTTTCGAATGGTGAGGAGAGACTTTTGGGAAGATCTGAGGGTTCTGTTTGGAACATATTGGGTAAGTAATTCCGTCAAATAAGTAGGTGCCAATCCTTTGAGGCACTTTAAGGTTAAAACAAGGATCTTGAACTTAATTCTAGCACGGACAATTAGTTACCAGTGTAGTTTTTTTAATGATAGTGATGATGATAATGCTAATGATGATTGTAATTAATATAAATATGTCCAGGAATGTAAAAGCTATTATGACAAAGACTGAAAAGTTGATACAGAAATATTACTTTTTAGCATATTCTGATAATATCCTCCAATGTGAAACGGCTGGCAAAGAAATGAAACTGCAATTTTTAGAGAGACAGTTCCATTGCTAAGTTATCAAACAGGAGTCATTTCAAAATAATTTTAACTGGCTTACACGTTTGATCTCCTTTATCTAGGTAGAGTGCTGCAATATAATAATCATTTGGAGATAAAGTGCAAGATATATAACTCTGTGCCCTTTCCTAGGAAAATTATGTCAAACTACTTCCTTGGAATGGGTATAAAGAGTGATGTGATACGTACTCTAGCGGTATATCATCTCTGGCTTCAAGAGCATTGTTAATGATGTGCGGGTGGCAAAGTGGAACTGGGAGAATGATAAACTTTCATAAGCAGCATGAGAGGGCCGCAATATTAAATTATGTTGTCATGGAAACCGTCTTTGATACTTTTGCGACTTTTTGAAAAAAAAGTTGCTCCTGCCTCGTGATACAGGGACACGTTGGCATGGTCTGATAGTGGCGGATGAAATGTTCGTTATGTTTCTGCGACGGTATATGAGCTTTGGATTTCAGAGATCCTGGAAACTCAATTCAAATGCCCCATTGTATGCCCCATAGAATTCTTGTTCGGGTTACATCATACGTCACTTTCGTGTTCGCATACTTCAATACATGAAGGCCAAGGTTTTTTTTTTTTTTTTTTTGTCTTAGGTTGATTTTTACGAAAGTAGTACTAGCTATCATCGTGTTGAATGCCGAGGCATGGATCATTATTAGGATGTATTTCAACGAAATTTTGATTATTTGGGCACATCACTGATTTAGGAACTTGCTTAAATACTTAGGTCAATGGCGGTGGAAAAGTTTTGAAGACACAAAAGAAAGGACTTTCTGTATATAGAGTTGCGACATTAGTGGATAATGATCATGGTGAGGGCTGTCGCCATATGCAGTCGCCAAGTACAATCAGTTGGAAACACGCATCTTGCGAAGTGGTCTGGGTACCGTCTTTAATACCAAGATTTGCAGTTCACTGGATCGATAGTAAATACCCCAAATTATTGGATTTAACATGGAATGGCAATTGATGTGGGACTTCGATTCGATTCGAATCAATCTTCATGGGGCACCGTGTCTATTCAAAATGATAATAAAGTTGAAATAAACAGCGCCATCAACGTTTTTCTTCATAAACGTTTCTTGAGCATACCGAGTAGCCTCGCAGCACTTTAATTACGTAAACATGTGTATTTACAGAGACGCCCCATACATTATTGATATACAAAATGTCATTAAGTCAGATATGAAAACAAATCAAAACGATGAAAATTGATATGAAGTGTACATTATTGAAAATACCCGACATAATTTTACAAGTATCATTGACATTTCTGCAGTGAATCGGATTCTAAAATAAGTCAAAAGTACTTTCATTGCTATACAATAGGCTTATGCTGGCATTGCTGCAATAGAATCCATGATTGTACAATGCTCACTGGAGCGCGAAAACGAGGGAACTCCCTCGGTTTTAACAACTGTTGTGTTTGGGGAGGTGTACAAAGAGAGAGAAAGGTGACTCTTTTTTAAGTAAATATAGCCTAGGCTACATGTATACTTGCGGCTCAGTACATTCAAAACGTTCTTTCAAAACAATCAGACGTCCCCGACTTGACTAGTACAAAATCGTCTTTTAGTAATTCGCGCCATACAAGAATGAACTGTGTAAACAGTGAGCAAATGTCTGCTTGTTTGAAGTGATCCAGTTATATTGGCAAATAAAACAACTATCGTCTCAGTTCAAAGTACCCGAAAAGGGATCGCGTTTGCTTGCAGGGGAGTGGGACGTGTCTGCGTGGTCGTCTGCTTGCGAAATTTAGTGGCGTTTACGAAGGCGGGAAACAAGTAGCCGTGCATTGAGATTGTATCTGTGATCGAGTTGATGTTGCTGTTGTCTGCGTGATCCGACCAAGCTTTTCTCTCAGGACTTAATCATAAGAGGGAAGGTGACCAGTACTCTTATCAGCAATGGCTAACTTAGGTAAGAACTTTTGATTCGCCATATCGCAAGATACGGTCTGCAAACTAGCCACAGTACTGCGCGCCGTTTATAGAGCGTACAACTATGGTGTATAACCAGAGAATGTGCCGTGTATCTCTCTCTCTCTCTCTCTCTCTCTCTCTCTCTCTTTCTTTCTCCTTCTACGTGCAAGCCTTTTGACTAACAATAAACCTTGAAGGTTTACTTTTCGCATTTTCCATTCATATCCACCTTGCCCATTCATAGGTTTTGTTACCGTCACGTCACGCTTTGTGTTTCATACGAAGTAAAGCCATACACACTCCGTGGGCGAGTTAGGGCCTCTAGAGAATTAGTATGTCGCTTCTTGTACATGATACAACGTACAAGAAACACTGCCGCAGTGTACTGTATGAGATCAATTTTCTTGATTTATAAATAAGAAGGCGAATGTATAGACCAATCAACCTGAACGCAAACTTTCATATTTCATCTTTATTTCAAAACTATATGTTTTGATAGCAAGTTCTTTTGAAAACATTTTAAACATTCTATTAAACATAGTCTACGAGACAAAAACAAAATACAAGTACAGAAGTTTAAAATTGAATACTACCGAAAATGAAGTTGTTTTTATTATGAACAACTTCGTTTGAAGACAAACGTTATTTCGGTTGTTTTATATGATGTCATAATGCGAAGATGCCCAATTCAGCCGATTGCATTTTGTTTCCAATAAAGACAATTATTGAATTGAAATGTGAATTTTACCCAGATGGAATATTGATATTGCTACAGTAATCATTATTTGGTTTAATAGTACCATAGGCCTTCTGTCATTTCATAATGCACCCTGTCTGACACGTATGACCTAGTTATTAGATGTTGTCCCTTATTTTGGTACATCGATAAAATAGACCCACTGTTTTGTACATTATTATTGGGACGATTGTAAAGTCATGGGACCCAACTCCAAAGGATATTAAATATACTCCACACACTGTCTCCTTATTTCTCGTACATTTACGTTATTTTTGGTCAACAATATATCCCACTTCGAGGATCAGGACTAAGAACAGAACAGATTCCGATTACCCGTCTTATGAGCAGCATACAGTTGCCATTAAATAGTTTAAAAAAGTGATAGTCCCAGAGTTTGTTGAATTTAGATGTGCAAGCAGTCCACTTTATTCCGTTAACCAGTTAATGCACAAATAACAAATATTACCATTACAGTTTCCTTTGACTATAATGAAAGACGATTATGATCTTAACGTGGAGTAAAGCGAAATATCCTCCAACTCTCTCTCTCTCTCTCTCTCTCTCTCGCTCTCTCTCTCTTTTTCTCTCTCTCTCTCGCCCTCTTAACCGCTCTTTCCCCCTTTATCTCTTTCTCTTTCCATTTTCCCTTTTTTCCCATGCCATAAAGAGCATTATGTCTCGCCCAAGGGTAAGTCAGAAAAGGAATGATTTTCGATCAATAACTTTGTTGTGAGCTACATGTATAAGAGCGGTATACTATCAGAAGAAAAAGCTGAATTGCGTTACCCAAGAAGCCATTGTGTTTTGTTGAAAGGAAGACATACCCACAGTTAAAGACATGTTCAGGATATTGAATTTAAAGTTCTTTTATCACATCCAAAAGGAAAAATTTACCTGTAACAATTCGCGTCTGGGGAAGATGTCTGAACTCTAGACATCGAAACTCTACAGCAGGTGCATTTTGTTTTTGGTATGATACAATAACTTTAAAATCATCCATCCTGATGAAACCCTTTTATAATATTTAAGATACTTTTGTGTATAATGTACAGTTGCAATCATGACATTGCATGAAGGGGTTATCCATGTACTACTCCAACCGAATATGCAACCGAAATTTGAAACAATTAATCCCCAACATGTATCAGCTATTAAACTCAAAATCATTCCGTGTTCACATCGTCGTGAGTGATTTTTTTTTTAAAGTTTTTTTTTGTATTTTTTTTAATTGTTTGTTTTTGTGTGTTTTTAAATAAGAAGATGGTTGGAAAGAAACTAATATCGAATTAAATGAAAAGTATAACAAAATCATCAAATCTTATAGGCCTAATAGCAATTTACATTGGGAATGTTGTATTGAGAATGAGATTACTATGATGCGATAGCTCTCGCACGTATGCTGTGAATGTAAAGAGACGAAGTAGATAATCAATTATTGAGATATTCAAAATGCCTTATCTTCGGGTACAAAGTACATACCTTTCTGGAAACAAAATCTGAATAGTGACGTGTTATTTGTAGTTAGGAGTATGTACAAGGACGATGAATTTAAAGCAGGTACTCCAAAAGACCAAATTGCAAACATGATAATGGCCCATATCGCTCACAACATTGGGCTCTCATTCACGAATTTGAGATATGAACCTTGACCCTAGCCTTTGTAGAATGACGCCCAATAAGTAAGGATTGTATCCGATTCGTTCCGTAAGGACATCGATTTGTTTACCTAAGTAGCAATACAACAGGCTAAATGCATTTTAAAGGGGTTATATTGTGACAGAGAAAATGTAGGTTGGCCTACATTATAGGGTAGAAGCCTAGCATCAGTAGAAGAGCATTGGCATAGGTTAGCTCTAATTCAGAGCTTGACTCGAAAACAAATATATACAAATTACAAACAGAGATGATCGAGACACCCTCCACCCCCCCCCCACACACCCAGCCCTCGAAACATATATGTAAAGTACTAATTAAGTTCCATTTTAATTTCTGATAAGTAACAAGAGTAATATTTACTTGAGTTGGCACAATTTGAATAACAGATATTGATCAGAAATATTCATCACGTGGAGGTTACATGGTCTAGTGGATATTTGATTTGATTTGATTTGATTTTATTTTATTTTCTTCTGCATTCATGTAATCATACAGTTTTTCGATAACAATAATGATATAAAGTACAATAAGTTTTTTTCTGACAATGAATCATAAATAAGCAAATACATATATATATATATATATATATATATATATATATATATATATATATATATAAATTGTTATTACGAAATGATAAACTGTCATAAATACTAAATTTCCTCAAACATTATAAAACATTATACAATTATTTGCGGAAGAAGCACTGTCATTGTAAGCAGATTGCTTGATAATACGACAGCCCCAGACAAAACTCATGAAATATATTAACACATTTATTAAGCAGAACAGATAGGTAATTGAAAATACAAATTTTAATGATGTCACTGGACTGTAGATCACATGGTTCGTGTTTCAAGTCCCGCCGTGGCACTATCATTCTTTGAAAAGACATTAAATCTATATGTGCCATACTCGACCCAGGTTAGGTAATGGGTACCTGCATGGCAAGAATCAGTCCCTTGAAATGCCAGAGCGCCATAATTCAAAGCATGGTGAGGATGGGGTAATTTTGGAGCGCCAGGAATATCAAGTCTGACAGACATGAGTGCTAAAATAAGAACCCTCTTTTATCATAATCTTTCGCAATAGGTACGCTGGTTATGCCACTGTATTTGTAATGGATGTCGATAGTAAAGTGGATGAAATTCCATCTATATTTTCGCGCCTAACCTCAAGAGCGTGTTCTTTGGATGTTGATTGGGCCTGGTATCAAGTGAAACATAGCTGTAGCCTGGAGGATATTTATACCAAGGTTTTTGATTGAAGTCAATGCAATTTAGATCCCCTTTCAAAGGCCGCCCATGTTATCAAGGATTTTGGGGTGCCTGGGATTTTCCTTCTTTTGTTGACATGAACTAAAGGGAAGAAATATTTCTTAAGTTGAAAATAGTCAAGGCATGTTCCATGTTTATATTGGAGGAACATCGTTATACTCAGGGGCGTATCGAGAAATTGGCATAACATTTCTACCAACGCTATTGCATCAAATTAAAGGATACCTCACACTACAGAATAAATGTAGATATGCTGAAAAATAAGAAATTAAGATTTATATATATATATATATATATATCAAGCTTTTCTTCCGGGTAACCCTTCTTGAACCCCAGTATATCTTTCACAATACCAGTGCTCAATGAAGACACTCCAAAAAGCATGAACATTATTTACTGAAAATGTCTTGAGTCGAATTACAGGTAATATTTACAAGCCTATTCACTGCTATTTTAGCATGCACAAATTGAGTCAAATTAATCAAGTGAGAGGCTGACATCTAAATATTGTTAAATGGAACGGCATGAAATGTAAAGGCTAGTTGGGATCTCAAATTACGTTTATCTTCAAATTTCTTGATTTCCGTCTGCAAATCGACGGATAATGATATCATTTCGACTAATTGAGGCAACATAATTATCAGCGAATTCACGCTCAAATTCGTGCAGCTCCCTCATCACCAAGATACTTTAAAGCCCAAGTCCACTCCAAAAATAACTTGCTTTCAATAGAACCCGAAAAATCAGACAAACCAGTCAAAAAAAGTTTTAGCAAAATCGGATAACTAATAACAAAGTTATACATTTTTAATGACATGAAATAAATTGAAAATCACTACACAAATTGGCAACTCACTCATGAATCTGTGACGTATGGTCCTCACTATCCACTAATTATTTTCTTTATATTGATAATATAAATTTCCTATTTTCACCCTAAGAATCTTATTTCTTCACACCAGCATCCAAGTTAGATTGTTAGTAATTTGTTTGTGTGGATGCACAAATAAAGAGTAATTTTTGTCCAGTTAAATCATGAAAAATTGAATTTTGATAAACTATTTATATCAAAATCAATAATTATGAAATACAATATTCAGAAAAAAGTATAAATTCTTTAAAATTCATAAAAGTTTTTGGGAAATGTCATGCACGCAATATGCTATAAATCATATAACCTGGGCTAAGGCATGGGGAAATCAAGTTTTGGGGGATAAAAAGGGAAATTAATGGGATTTAACGATATAAAGCTATTGATAAGTTGTGAGGACATGACGTCACAAACTGATAACCATCTTGGCAAATTGTGCTGTGATTCTCATTGTTCCATAGTTTTACATACTTTTTCAAAAATTCTTATTCTTATTAGTGATCCGATTTCGCTCAAACTTTTTTTGAATGGTTTGTCTGATTTTTCTGCTTTTATTGAAAGTAAGTTATTTTTGGAGTGGACTTGTCCTTTAACTAGCTATAAGTGTGTTTGCTGTTATGTTTCCGATGTGAATTTTACATTCCAAACTATTCCTTTTAAACAAATGAATTTACCCAACTCAGCTCATAGACAACCCGTTGTTGCATTTTATCAGAATCCACACAACCAAAATGCACTAAGCTTAAAGCATGCAATGTTGCATTTGTTTCTATTTGTAGATGTAAACCGTAATACCAAGCTGTGATAAATAGACGCTTTAAAGGTACGATGTCCCATTTGCAGGTCCAAAAAGGAAAAGGTTAAAGTTCAACGGTATTTGAAAGACAATACTAATTTAGAACTTTCCTCAAATCTAAAGGGCTTGAAAATGGCTTTTAGTAGGGAAAAACGACCATTAGCTGTCAAATCGACTTAGGCGATTGCTTCTTCTTCTTCTTGATTTGAATTTGTTTGGCAATCAGTCACAGTTGACTGTTTTTGCCACACACTATTTTATGAATTATTTATATGTACAATTTCATGTCATAAATAACTATTTTTAGGATTCTTTCTCTTTCTATCCCCTTTCATTCCGCTTATTTTCTTTTTAGACCCTAGACTATATATTTTTTTTTAGAGAAAATTCAATAAATTAATAAATTTGGAAAGAGATGGCCAAGCCTAGCAAGTTGTACGTACTTGTGTTTACGCGCACTTATGTGCGCGTTCACATACCACCTCTGTATGCACATGTGTACTTCGAACTCACTTAAGTAATAGTCTGCTCTTCAGACTCTGTTATCGAATGGTCGTACGTTTTATGCTGCGCTATGATTAAATCACAGTTTAATGATGGCCATTACAAGAAGTGGGTAATTAATGTAGACAAATACTTATGCACCTGTTACAGCTCATTTTATGTATGTTTTTTTTCTTCTCTTTGCCTCTTCCATGATGATTCATTTATTTTTTTCACTATATTTACTTGATAAACATATTTACAAACATATACAAAACACAAACAATATTTATCAAGGGTGAACAATGGAACATTTGCTGGAAATGACAACATATCAATTAATTTCTTCACTTCTTTGACATTGGATTGTTTCATTTTGTTTGACATTTAATGGTTATGTATGTTTTGTATGTTATTACCAAAGAAAAAAAAATGTCAGTCAGTCACTCAATAGTGTCTGACAGTGAAGTCTAGAAGGTGAACGGGTTTCCTTGCATTATTTGAATACTATAGGACACTGCTAGTGCTAATGTTTAAATTTCACAGATAGGACATGTATAAAACATGACATATTCATAATTCCTGCAAAGTTCTACAGAATTTGATGTTGGCTGCAAAAGGAACATTGTATCTTTAAACGGACAGTCTTGACATTAATCTACATTCTACCTCCTTGCTATTTGCAGACTATGATATTTAAACGGATCTCTATATTCATAGCAGCAGTCTGTATACTAGACCACCGCAAAATCCACGTAATTGGATAGCGCTGGCTGGGGGTCGGCGACCAATAGAAATACAACAATGCTTTATTTGAGAAAAATCCTGTACCATAATATTGGAAAAACACGAACCTGACAAGAACGAAATACACACATCATCGGGTGTGGGATATCTTACACCTGTACAAATATGAGATTAACCGAATGTCGATCGTCAGGTAAACATGCATATTTTCACACATGTCAGTTACATGTAGGTCGTCGTGCGATTTTGTTGCCTTGTAATTGCCAACTCAGATTACATATTTGAATACTTATAATTAAAATATTACAGCTCTTTTAAGGCTTGTTAAAACCTTACACTCCTGTAATTCCCAAGCACTATTTTTCATGATCACCTATCACTGTTTTTCGCATGCAATTCGCAAAACTACCAATTCATTAGTGATACCAGGCATAAGCAATATTTCAATTAATCTATACGTAAGCCAAGGTACTTGAAACTTGAACATTGGATGTTTGATCGTCTTTTCATAGTAGGACTGTGTGATTTAGCCGAACCCTGTGTCAATACGGATTTGTGTGCAAATGAAACGAAACCAGTTCAGCTCACAATGGGAGCACAAATATTCCTCTTTTGTCATCGTAGAATTAATATGCAGAAAGATCACCCTATACATATCACACGGTTAAGTGCCTTATAATGATAGCGCTGCTTAGAATACCATATTTTGTTTTCCCAAAGATGAACGGCTTTGCAATTAAGAAGGTTCAATACTATACAAAAAAAAAAATTAACAGCCCACTAAATTACTTTTAGCGCACAATTGATGTGCGGTGAAGTGACAATGATTTTGCAATCGTTGTTGAATAAATCCAATTTAATATCAGATTTGCGGTTTTCTTCACAATATTTGTGTGACAAAATGATGATCGTAGTATTTTACATATTATAATGGCACAAATCTTTTGATCATGTATTTATATCATCAAATTTATTATTATTTCATCAAACTGTTGGTATTCTCCGCTAGCTTTCAGATGCATTCATTTACAGATAGCATCATGAAACTATAATTCCTCCCCCTGCATGCGAGTCCGGCAGGATGTCAGCTCTGGAGAAAAATAAAATCATATCGGTTTATCAGACTTTCGCTTATCAAGTCCCCTCCCTCCCTCCCTCATTTTTGTGACAATATCATGGACCCACCTCTTTATAAACGGCCGATATAGGATGAAAATGTCTGTAGAGCAGGCACGTAGCCAGAGTTTGGTGTTTGGGGGGGGGGGGGCACATACATGTAATCGATCGAGGTAAAAAAAAAGGGGCCTAAAAAAGTTCAACCGATCTTGGATTTTTTTTTTTGGGGGGGGGGGGGGCACTTGCCCCTCCCCCCCCCCCCCCCTGTGGCTACGTGTCTGCTGTAGAGTATAACATCATCTTATTTCAACGACTTTGCAGGAATGAGTCCTTTTAAGCATCTTATTTGGGGAGCCCTTATCTATGTGTGGACGCAAATTCCATTGGTATTTATAATCCCCCCAGAAGATACGTAATAAATATCAAGGTATAAACTAGTTTTTTGTTACATGCTAAACTACTGCTGTACGATATTTGATCCTGCCTCATTTTCCTGTACTAACTAAATGCTTAACTGCAACCCTAGACCCAACACTCTACCTAACCCGAACCCTAACGCTAAACCTAACCTAAAACCCAATTACAACCCTAACCTCAACCATATTACGTTGTTAAGCCTGGATATATCGTCGGATCACTTAATACAACGCTTATGGTGTAGATTATGTCAGTCGCATCATCAACGTATACACCATCAATGTAAACCCCACACCGACACCATGTACCAGGCCGAACAAAATTACAACACCCCTGATAGTGAAGTAGCGTCGATCGGTTTGGAGTGGATGAGTGTGAATGAAGTATATTTTATGGCTGTTGGAAATACTATGGTAATATCAAGAACTGTCGCTTTTAATATAGGCGGTCTATTCTTCTGTGTTTCCCGAGGCGGGAACCTTTAATGTTCGGTTTAATACAGTAGTTTCGTGGTTGTTAGAGACAGCTGAATGCTAAATACTTACTCAAAAATACAATATACATGTACCTAGCTCAACATAAAATATACCTAGGTCAAAAAACCAATATACCTAGGTCGGCATTTTCGTCTGTTAGAACCCTCGTGCCATGTTGCAGGTGTGAATTAATCCGATTATCATGTTGCTTTCTTAAACTCAATTCATTGTGTTGAAAATATTTCGGCATGAGTCAGAGTCCTCTTTCACAATAAATCATATCCGGTAATATAATATTTTGATTAGGAGTCATCCTTGCGTTATAAGCAGTTTCCAAAGTAACATTGCCAGTACACGAATCGAAAGAACTTTAATTAAAAAGGACGTAATACTACTTAGACCCCCCCCCCCCGCATAGTCCAAATAATTAAAATGTCCTGTATGACCCCTCCCCCCCCCCCCCCCCCACATATACACAATTAATGGTAAGAATATTCACGCTCTTTGTATCCATAAATCATTTAATTGTATAATTACTCCCTGGCTAAATTAGTATTTTATTCTCTGTTTGGTAGATGATTTTCAGCAGGCTATATTAGACGCCCATAACAAGTTACGGTCCGAGAGAGGCGTCCCTGCTTTAGCCTGGGCCACTGACATCGCCACCACCGCCTCCAACTGGGCGCAGAATATATCAGAGAAGGGCTTCCTGCAAAACAGTGACAACCAAGGTGAGAAAGGATCATAAGGATAATAATAATGATAATGATAATGATGATAATGATACCAATGATACTAATGATGATGATAATAGTGATGATAATAATACCTATAATGATGATGATAATAACTATGTTTTTTTAATTTTTATAATGGTACTGATAATGTTAATGATAATTATAAATATAAGAAGAATGATTATAATGATAATAATAATAATAATAATAGTAATGATAATGATAATGATGATACAAATGACAATTAACGACAATGATACTGATGATGATAATAATGATAATAATTCACCTTGTTTACCCAGGGTATTAATACTGTCCTCACTGGAGGGAGGGAGGGTGGGGGGGGGCGGGCTGCAATCTTACTGCTCCCTCGGCTTAAGCTGAGGAAAGATGATGTGCAATAAAGCATTCAGGGAATTTCTTCCTACCGGGTACCCAATTACTACACCCGGGTAAAGGGTGGCAAATACAGATTAACCAATTACTACACCCGGGTAAAGGGTGGCAAATACAGATTAATGTATTTCCAAAGGACAGCGAAAGGGTAGCGTAAGTCTAGTCCACTGACTGGACTGTTTCCGTCCAACCAGCTAAGAAGATGACACAACTTTAACGCCAAAATGTCTTGTCCTTTGCGCGCTGTGTGGGGCGTTAGGCAAGGGGGAAAATGATGATAAAAGAAAAAAAATATGTGAAGGGCAAGACTTACTTAAGTGAAGGGGGGTCGGTTGTATCATTTTCTTTTCAAATTGGCCCCTCCTCTTTCTTTCCATCTTATTCACTCCAATTTTTTGTCATGTATTTCTCTTCTTATTTATCACTTTTCCTCCTCCTCGTCGTCTTCTTCTTCTTATTCCTACTCTTCTACTTTTTCTTCTTCTTTTTCTTCTTCTTTTTCTTCTTCTTCTTCTTCTTCTTCTTCTTCTTCTTCTTCTTCTTCTTCTTCTTCTTCTTCTTCTTGTTCTTCTCCTTCTTCTTCTTCTTCTTCTTCTTCTTCTTCTTCTTCTTCTTCTTCTTCCCGGTCTTCTTTTTCTCCTTATTGTTGTTCTTCTTCTCCTTATTGTTGTTCTTCTTCTTCTTCTTACCCCATTCGACCGTGAAGGCAGAGCATCATTACTAATTTATGGTATCATTTATTTGACAAATCGTATCATCAGGAAACAATAGAGTTTATTAGAAAATAAATGGCATTCCATGTAACAGTGCTAGGTCGGAATACATCGTGAAAAGATAGAGGGTCCGTTTTCCTTGCTTTTATATAGTTCCTATCTTCTTTTATTTGAAAAAAAAAAAAAATTATATATTTTTTTTCTGTTCGTATTCTTTTTCTAAATTAGGGCTTGTTTGGATTTCTCGCCTTCTAACATATTTGTTTATATACATGTATATGTGTGTGTTTTATTTAACTTTGTATGTAAATCATGTTAATCTATAACGTATGTTTCTTTGAAAAATTGTGATTGCTTTTTATATGCACGGCCATGCTGAAGAACAGCCATTGGCTGAAGTATGCCACCGTGCTAAAATAAAATAAACAAAACAAACAAACAATCATCTTTTCTTTTGTTCTCTATGTGTAACACAGTTTTAGGAGAGAATATCCTTATGACGACAGAAGACTTGGATGGAGACCATGTCGTATTGAAATGGCTACAAGAAGAGAACAATTATGACTATGATAATCAGAAATGGCAAAAAGGTACAGTATTCATATCTCCCTGGTAAGATCTGTATTTTTGTATTTACAAAAATTTTAATGATTTTTTTTCTTCTTTGTTTCTTTAATTTTTTTAATTGTTTTACTTGTTTACTTATTTATGTATGTATTTATTTATTAACTTTACTCATTCATTTGTTTACTTATTACTTATTTAATCCACTCAGCGTTGTAAGCGTCTGCAAAATGGCGCCTGGCTGGAATGCTCCCCAGGGAGTGGAATGTACGAAAGAAATATAGTTATCCACCTAACAAAAATCGATTATATAGATTGCATCAGTAGGTCTATATATCAACCCAGAACATTATTATTCTTTTTACTGTTGTTATTGTGATTACTTCAGGTACAAGTCGGTTTACGCAGATGATCTGGAAAGCGAGCACCGAGTTCGGCGTCGCCAAGGTCCCACTACGGAACAAAGACGGGTTCGTGATCGTGGCGAACTACCGACCTCGTGGAAACGGTAACAGACCGGGCGAGTACCAGAAGAACGTCCCGTCGAGAAGCGATGATACCGTCTAGCGGTAGCAGTTGGCTGGTCTTTTTAGCTGTTTTTTTTAGATCATAGTTATAACAAGATCGCAACCACTTTCGAAAACTCAACCTAAGATAATTCCAATCGCCTTGTTCGTCACCTATTGGAATATACGAAGATGACAATGACGTATTACGTAATCTGAACATGATTTGAACAATAATAGGAAATAGAAATCACCCTTGGGTTGATTTTTTAATAGTTGCGGTCCTGTTTTCTTTTATTTTTTGCGCAGAGTTTTAGAAGAGTAAAGAAGAAAGTTTTAATATAAATTTATTTAAGGTTGCTAACACAGTACTCTAGATGTATGGTTCATCAAAATCCTTGACAATCAATCCGTTGGCAATTCCGATACCATATTGCAGTATATTGCTTACAGAACTTCACTTTGGATGATGTTCTTATGGTACATTGTAAAGTTCGCATATTTTAAAAGATGAAGGACAGTCCAAGGCTGTCGAAATTGTCGAGGGTTCTTTTTTATTTTTGGTGAAAAGTTTTTGCGATCGATCATATCAAAGTGTTTCAATTTAGCTAGTTGTAACACTTTACTCTATCATAGGTATCAAAAGCATACAGAAAGATAGGGGAAATAAAGCATGGGCCCAGTCATTGAGAGGGGAGGGTGGGGGTGGAGGTCTTGGTGTCATGGGGGCTCTGGTTTTATGAGGCGAATTACATACGAAAGAACAAGGCCCTCTGAGTTGTGAGAGCGTGTAATGGCTGCAAATCTCCGTTGCCTTGCCCTCTCCCTCTCATTATCTCTGAATCCTTTTTCGCCGTTAGATTAGAGGGCCTACACCTGTATGGCGAGGAGCATTTCTAGATAAAATGCCTTACTCAACGACATGCCTTGCTGGTGTTCGGACCCACGACCTTGCATTTTCAGTCTAGTGATTAAACCATTCGACTACTGGCGATCTATAGAAATGGCTGCAACAGTGTAGATATATAAACAGCATTGAGTCTTCATCGAAATAAAACTGCTTTATTATTTGTGCTACTTAATTATTTATCGTAACTCCCAGCCTAGATTGAGTAAAAAGTTGGTATAATTGTTCTAAATTTTCATAACGTCTTTTGAGGTTTAAAAAAAAAAAATTAACCAAAGTATATGATTTCGACGTTTGGATATTAATCAGCTCTTACTATATTAAAAGATCACCTCGAAAACTGAACGATAAAAAAAAAGTATTTTACCCTTTATATAATATTGATGCAATTCCGTTTTTACGATGAGGATATTCATAACTTTTAAGATTCGTATGTATATAATGCTTTTGTTTTTTAATTGTACTTAAATGTCCTATGACCAGAATGATAATTGCCTGTAAGATATAGATTCGCTCTCTGTTCGCTCTTGACGACAAAGATAAAGGTTACAGAAGATAGTTTAGGCTTTACAAATTTACATTGACTTCTCTCGTTAAAAATATCTTGTATCCTATAGGACAATGCCCTGTCAATAGTTTACATTCCCTATGCTCACCGTTTACTGTGCAGATAAAGATAAATGTATAGGCTAGATATTTTTTAATGACATGACCTTGTCTAGTTCTAGAAGTTGTAATGATTATCTTGAATATCCAGATAATAAGTATCTTATATTTATCATTATTTACTACAGATCGGAAGCAAATGTCTTTCTAAAATCTCCTGAAATGTCTTCCATTATCTCTATATTTCTGTTCATTGTGATGTGCTTTCTTAGTAATGTTCATTTTGTATATATAGAAATATAAAATAAAATATCCTTTTCTCTCTTTCTGACATTTTCTTTCTAGACTCTTACTTTACGAATGTCGACAGCGTATCCCATATATCCAGCACTGTTTATTTGAAGCATTATTTACCTGTTATTAACTCGTACAAAGACTGACAAATAGTATTCTTCTTCAGATATAAAAGAAGGAAAATGGAGAGAGCTCTTGAGAGATTGTGTAAAAGAGACCTCTGGAAAGTGAGAGAGAAAGATAGATAGAGAGAGAGAGAGAGAGAGAGATTCATATCAATGGGAAAGAGAAGAGAGGGAGTACACAGGTGAAAAGATAAATACTGCTGCTGCTACAACTACTATAATAATACAAGTAGTAATAATAGTAACATCAAAACTGTGAGAGGAGAGAGAGAGGTGTAGACCGGAGGTGTGTGTGTTTGGTGGGGGGGGGGGGGGACAGAGAAACAGATATACATACATAAAGACAGGCATACATAATATATTCATACAGGAAATGAGATGAGAGGTGACATTAAATTTCGGAGAGACATAGTAAAATAGAACACAGGGACATACGTGACAGCGAAGCGATGAAAAGGAGAGGTCCAAAGTCGAGCTGAGAAGGAACCGACAGCGAGAGAGAGAGGGAGAGAGAGAGAAAATAAGAAAAGATAAAATGCATTTATGAGAGATAAGAGAGAGCGAAAACAAAAATACATGTAGGTTTTCATTTTTTCCACATAATTCACAGAATATAACTTTGATGCTTAAAAAAAAAGTGGATTGAGATGGCTAATGAGCAGGTAGCCTACGTTTTTTAAGTTTTGAATAATTCTTTTTTTTAATAAATTGAAATCGATATTCTGTACAAACGTTCTCTAAAATATTGTAATGATTGACGACAGGGCCCACCACCACTACCCCCCCCCCCCCAAAAAAAAAAGAGGAGCGGGAGAATGTGCAGTAAAGAGGATTAATGCCTTACCAAAGCGCATCGAATTGGTTTTGAACCCTGGACTTCCCGATTACGAGACCATTGCTCTACCACTGAGCCATCACATCTCACTATGAATTTTGCCCATCAAATATTAGATTTTCCTTAGTTTTAATCAATTATTTCCAAAATACATATACATGTACATCAATGGATCAGCAAAGATGACAGTAGTAGCCGAAATCAACTTTTTAAATCAATGGAAACTCGGTCTTAAAAATATATATATCGGATCAAATGATTGAAATTTTAATGAAAAAATGACAACGCATACACGTGATTATGCTTTATGTATGTCATTGGTCAATTATTTATTCATTCAGGGTGGCCCATTCAACATCAGTTGGTCTCCCAGTCCACTGCGAGTAAAAACAATTATACAATCAAATCAATCGCAATTCAAAAAATAAACAAGTCAGAAAAAGAAACGTATAAACAATTAAAATCAAAAGTTAAGTTACAGTTTTCTTGGAAATATGAACATAGAAAATGTTTAAATGTAAGGATGAGTCGAGTGGTTTTGTTGTTCTTAATTCAAGTGGTAAATTATTCCATAATAAAGGACCGTCGGAGCAAAAAGAATGCTTTCGATACTGAGTAATGCATTTAGGGATTACGAGATCACGTCTGAGAGATTGTGTTGTATTCTTGTTATGAACTTTACTTATTTTATGAAAGAAATTGGAATAATGATCAGCTGATGAACCGTGAATGCATTAATAGATAAACACATATCGACAATATTTGACATCGTCATCAAAGGGCATCCATTCCAATTGTAAAGACATTTCTTTTCAGGTGTATAATTATATATTACAATTAAAAATGATTCTTGCCGCTATCATGAAAATATACTGAGACACGAATAGTTGAAAGAACACTTTTATCATATTTGTTTTAATCATGTAAGATATAGGGCATTCATAAGTAGGCCTACATTAATGATTGTTCACATAAATTTACAATATTTTCTACACATTTACAACACTATCGTGCTGATACAAATAAAGACAAAGAAGGATGATGATGATGAAGATGATGATTGTAACGATAATAATGAGGGGAATGTAGTATACACTTTAAGATGTCCTACCCGTTTTCCCCTTTCTTCTACACCTTTAAAACTCTTGTTAAATAACAATTTTAAAGGACCGAGGACTGACTTTTAAAAAGAATGGTAGATTAATATTTAAACCTGCTGGATTTATCCTTTTTACTATATGATCAAATATATGAATAGTGTAAAAGCTACCATTTTCAAAACGTTACCATTCGATCCTTTTAAACGTTGATACTTTAGAAGAGTTTTTAGGGTGTAGAAGAAAGAGGAAAAGAAGGGGGTAGATGAAAAGGGGGCATAATGAGAATATGGGAGAGGGGAAGGGAGACCTGACGATGAGGGAACTGGAAACTAAAATCAGAGCAATGATGAATATAACAAGTGGAAGACGAATTGAAAATCACCTGTAAAAATACAGTTCATTGTGTGCACATAATCACATAGGTCTCAAGTATCATTTAATATGATTTGAAAAATTCATCTACTGTAATATCGCATGATGTATACAACTTGTTTGTCGTTTGTACAGTTGTATATAAAAACGAAAGAAACAAAGAAGAAAACAATAATAATCAAATTAAATCAAATCATTTGTTACGGTTCACATGATAGCATAGTATTCTTCATACAGGTGAGAAGCTTGTGTGAGGTATATTCATCAAAATCAAGGGGTTCGATCGAGGCCCCTCCCCCTCCCCTTTTGCTCTTGTTGACTCCAAACAAAAGCCAATTAGGCTCTGGTCTTAACTCTGCCCCAACACGCCATTTTACCTGGAGTTAAGTTTTACTCAAACGCGTAACTTTGTCTTCGATAAATATTCAACCAATCAATCAACATTTTCTCTTTGGCATTTTCACAAGACCGTTGAATAAACGAATGTCAACCTAGATGGAGCTACATACTTTTGTGCACACTGAGTACACTCACACATCTTACTAAATTGAATACAAATGTTATCATAAAAAAGACGCTCGCAATACAAAAAAAGAGGCAGCCGTACATCTTACGTGGAAGGCAATGCGTATTGCTTTACATACTCGCAATAGCTCAATGTATATTTTGGATGAATTCGCTAATTGGCTACATTATAAAATATTGTCCCATAACATGTATGTACAGTGGCACCAATACGCCCTACAGACGTAACCTCTGAATACAGGTTTCCCTAATGTACTGTAGGCATTTTGACGCACATACACAACCGAATGTTTGTTGTCTCAAATATCAACGGCGCATATGACATCCAAGGAAGGGATTCCGATAGTCCTGAGCGAATCCCATTTCTGAACCCCATCTCAGTTCTTTTTAAAGAATTGTCGCTCTTTTTTGCCAGAGGGGTGATGACAGGTGTCGTCGCTTGTGCCCGTTTCACTGACGAGGTGTTATTTGCCTGACGTATGATTGCGTCAGCGACTATCGCGGTGTTTGACTCGTCATAAACACGAGATTGAGAAGCCGTATGCCTGACGTATGATTGCGTCAGCGACTATCGCGGTGTTTGACTCGTCATAAACACGAGAAGACGTATGTTTGCGTCAGCGACTATAGCGGCGTTTGACTCGTCATGAACACGAGAAGCCGTATGCCTGACGTATGATTGTGTCAGCGACTATCGCGGTGTTTGACTCGTCATGAACACGAGAAGCTGTATGCCTGACGTATGACTGCGTCACCTACCTTCACGGTCTAACATAGCGGGTCATGTGAGAGTGGTATCGAACGCAAGGTGATTGCGTAATAAACAGTGCAAGCGTTGCGTCGAATTACTGGTGTACTGGTCATGTATTGCCTTCACGGGATTGGTTAGTAATAACGCAACCGATTATGAAGCCTAGTATGCAATGGGGATTACAGATAACATACACAGTGGTACAGACTGGACCTAAGAATAATAATTGCGGCCGTCGTCCCCGGGACTGGTCACGCCTTTTCCCCTCTCTCCTCTTATGTGTTTTCTACTAGGCCTATCTTATCAATTATCATCATATCACCTATTTAATTTCTTCTTTCTATCTCCCTCTCCCTCTTTCTCTACTTTCTGTGCATTCCCCTCAAACGTATTATGAAAATTGCATAGACCATCGAAGACGAATGAAAACTTGCATGTCACTCCAAAAGAAAACCCCGAATAATCTCTATATCAGACCGAAATATCTCTTTTCTATTAAGGCACCTTTGAAGTGACACCGATATACTATTTGAAATGTTAATATCATAGAGAATACAAATATGATTGCGACTGGAAAAAACCGAATGCCAACCATTGTTTCAGGCATTGACCAGATTCTGGTCGTTTTTATAAATTTCACTTTTGATTGCTTTTGTGATCTCACCCCACAAATTCACAATTCCCACGAATTAAACAAGGAGACCAAAAAAAACAAAAAAAAACAGGGTCGGTATTCATGGGTAGCTAGGGTATGAGCGGGAGCACACGTCGCTTTTATACAGACTAATAGAGGACAGACCGGGCACGGCAAAGTGAGCATAATCGCCATGTTTCGGTGAAAGCTGCTTGGCAATTACCGCGATGTCTTGACGTAGTGTGAATGAGGCCTGTACTTCAGATGTTGGTTTCTTGCTCGGCTGGATCACATGGGGTCTGAGTTTCGGCGCCACTGCCCTCCTCGGAACTCTTCGGCACATTATCGGTACCCGGGTGAGTTATGCTTTTAGAGCCCGTCTTTTGCTCCTCGCTATTGTTATTCATATTTTCATTCGGATGGATCTCAACTACTTCTGGTTTGGTTACGTCGTCAGCTTGAACTTCGTCGTCGTTCTCCTGATCGCTTGTACTTTCTTTTATTTTCACGTAACCTGCCTTGTTATCATTAAAGCTGTCAGGCAGCGCTTTTGTTGCGACGTCAGCGTGGGAATCGCATTTCCCTTCGACGTCGGTCTGCTCCTCGTTCATCTTAACATACCCATTTTTCTCGCAAGGATCGATTTTTAACTCAAAGTCGTCACCGACGTCCAGCGCCTTGAGTGCTTGCTTCTCCTCCTCATGAAGATCGTCGTCCTCTTCGTCATCATCCTCATTCACGGCGTCACTGGCTTTTGCTTCAATATCGCATTGATGGTAGTCGCCCGTATCTGGCCTGGCAATCTTTCCAACACGGATGAGCACGCGTCGGACTATGACGTAGGTCAGGATCATAACGGTGCCTTCAAATATCTGCAGCATTGCCACCAGGAGCGGCATGCGGGCGATCAGGTCAGCCTCGGGAATCGGGTAGGACAGCTTCGCCACGGTGATTGCCAGAAGACTGTTCTGGACGCCGGTCTCGAACGAGATGGTTAGGGCCTCTTTGGTGGGCCGTCGCAGGAGCTTGGAGATAGCGAAGCCGAGAGTGCCCCCACAGAAAGGGAGGGCACAGCAGATGAGATAAATCCTCCAGGGAACGTCGAAGATGTAAACCTGAGACGGGATTCCAATTGCAAGGGCGATGACGATCAGACCACAAGACATCGGCTTCAGGCACTTCAGCATGATCTTCGCAATCTGCGTGGATAACAGAAATGAAGGCGGGGGATCAAAAATGTAAAAAGTAACTTGGCAAGCTGTGTGGATGACAGCAATTTTATGGAAAATAGATTGATCAAATATAAGCATTGTGTATATCGTCGTATCCAAGAATAAGACAGCTCGTAGATATAATCTGCGTGTGGGCAGATAAAGGTTGTACTTGTACAAAATTGTGAAACCCACTGAGACGAATACTGGATACGTGCTCATGAAGGTTTCCTCCTATTCCTTCAAACAGTTGGGGGGGTGGTGGGGGGGGGGGGGGGGAGTAAACTGGGATCCATCCAGGCTTACGGATTTGCACCCGAGCCTACGAGTTTGCCAATGATAATGTGGTAAACAGTGCTACTACTAGATTATTTCAACATGATCGATGTGATTCGTCAATGGCATTATTATTTGAAATACATTTTACAATCGTGTGTTCATTCATAAGGTAACATTTATTGAAATAATGATTGCGGAGCATTTACCACTTAATATCTACTTCGTTAATACGAATTATTACAATTTTCTAATCGCTTTGTAGTAGGTCTTAACTAAGATAATTGTTGAAACATTATTTCTAAAACTTAATATTCATTTTGTTTCATAATATACGTATACCAATAATTACCTTTTCGCTCTTGTGTGCAATATACATTCCTAATCCAACAGGTAGTAGCATAAGACCCAATTGCATGGCGATATCTTTGTAGGGCGTCTGTAGACCAGACGAGTTGCCTTCTGTTAACCTTGACCCGTAGATGAACATGTTGAGCGGCATCAGACCCAACGCCATGAAACTCGAGCAGAACGTCATCGTCAGACTTAGGACGAAATCGACGTCCATCAGGAGCGAGAAGATATTGCTGATCCAGCCACCGGGACAGGAACCGATGACGAGGAGTCCGATGGCTGCTTCGGGAGTGATTCCCGGTGATTTGGCGAGTGCGAAGGCGATCAAAGGCATGATGATAAACTGGCAACCAATGCCTGTAAGCACTCCATATGGTCTTCGTAGCTTGTTCCAAATCACGGCCAGGTCCATCTTGGAACCCATTGTTACGTATGATACAATAAGCCATCCTAGAAGACTATATGTGAACACCTTTTCTAGGATGTTTCGTTGTCTGGACACCTTGATATCATATGTAAACGAGTGCGTTTCTATGTACTCACGAACGGAAGCTTCCTCTTCGTTTCCGCCATCACCACTGGACGCGACATCTCCCTTCAACAGGACATCGTCTGCAACTTGATAAACGTGTGTGATGTTCAGGATCAAGGAGCTGATGCTTAGCTTTCGACCTCGAATGGGGATCATCACCGTGACATTACCGTCGACTGCGTCAGTGATCACCGTTTCATTGAAGAAGGACTCGAACGAGTTCGAATCGCCGATCGACGTCGAGACCGTGATGTTTCCTACGATGCCGTAGATGGTGACATTGACGAGGCCTTCGACGCCTTCGAGGACGATCAAGAATGGGTCGGGACTGAACTCGACAACGATCTCTGCTCCTCCGGAGGCCGAGTCACAAGGAGGATGTGGATGCCCGGTGACGGCAATGACGAGGGAGATGAGAAATGTGACGGAGAATATTCCACTTGACCCCTGAAAAAGAAGAGAGGAATATACATGTGGTTAAGTTCAGTTCTCCTAATTAGGAAGAAAGCACTACGTATTTGCAAGGGCTCACCTAAGAAGCATACTCCGGCCCATTTTGCTATAAACTCAATATCCTTAAAGTCTCTGACATAAATACTCTTCAAATCTCCTTACTTAAAAATGCCATTAAACGAAATGAATAAATAAATCAAATAAATAAATTAAAAAAACTTTAATGTGCCTGTGCTCTTATGAATAATGGTGGATTAATGTCTGAAGTAAATTTGTTGAATAGTTTTCACTGAGTAGAAAGGTAAAACGCTTGAAAATCCATCATGGTGAAATATCTTGGCACAATTTTTTCTCTATTTGTGTTGACAAAAGCCAACATACAATATACAATATAAAAACTCTTTATATAAAAGCCTCATCCACAGTACAACTGTTTGAAGGAAATAAAACATCAATATTGAGGTTTACCATTACAACAATAGCGCCATCTTTCTTTCATGTCCGGCAACCCAAAAGAAAGAGGGAGTGGACTGAAGCAAGGTTGGGCCAAGACGGAGATTGAATGAGGACAGCTGAAGTCGGATCAGAAAAGCCCGGGGTTCGGATATGAGAATTTTTCATATTAATATTTCTAGTTTTTCGCAGACTTGTATTTTTTGTTTGGTCTTTACAACTTACTTCAGTAAAGCGGTGATAAATGGACACGTGATGCAAGTCACAGCATTAATGTCTTTTCAAAATTAGCTAACATATTATGGTTGAAAGATTTGATTAGATCGTACATTACTTCTTCTTCTCTGTGAACTAATGCTACATATAATTATAAAGGACATCAGCTATAGATTATTTATAATCTTTTCTCTATCCATGTTAATGTTTTGTCTCTGTTTGAACGTTGTCCAGACATATAAGAGTTACAATGTAGGAAGGACCCTTGGATTGGACAGTAGCACATTAAAGTGCTTTTTATTGCACGCTGAAAATATGCAAATGTCGGCATTTTGGGAAATGGTGTTTCTCCATTGCCGGCCCAATTCCAAGCAATGAAAACTAACCTCACGTACCATTTGTCACAATTGTTCTGATTTTTGAAAGCTCGTTAATTTGCGTTGACATTTTTCATCTGGAAATTCGCAGTTCGACAAATCAAGGTTTATTGAATGTGGCTTGAAGTGGTCATTTCGTGAGATCCCTAGCCTTGATCCGAGTCCCAAATCACTGCTTCTGTCGCTTTTTGGTTCCGTTAATCACATCACAGTGTAGTCTTATATATTCAAGCTGTATCGAAATGGGTCTTTAGATCCGCCCTCGACCGAATACTACCGTTTTAGTGTTGGGATGAAGGGGGTTAGTCAAAATTTCAAGTGAGGGGGGGGGGGGGGGGGCTGATCTGATCTTAATCAGTGTTAGTACTAGTAGGTTCAGTCCCAACCACCCCCCCCCCCCCCAGACCCTCATGGGTTTAGTAGAAAGCCAAAAAATAGAGAAATCTGACGTATAATTGGAAAGATATGCTTTTAATAAATGACCGATCGCTAAAAAAACAAAATTTTAATTGCCAACTTGGTCATGACCCTGTGACGTCAGGGATGAATCTCGGTTTGTTTGACTCTCGACTCAATCCCCTTTTCCCTCTTTCTGCTGATCTAACCTCATTTTTCTAGAGCTTTTGCAATCATTCGTTTACAATTTCTATTTTTTTCCTTTTTTGCCTTTTAGTATTTTCCCCCCATTTTTCCTCTTTTTTAATTTTTTCCCCAAAATTCATAATTTCTTTATTGTTACACATTTTTCATAATTTTATTTTCAAGACGTATTGTAAAACAGCCTCTGAGGAACTATTACTTCAACAAGCTTTGCTTCTAGGTAGTTCTTCTATTCTCGTGCCATTACTATTATATTTGTCTTGTTTCATTGTATATTTTTGGTAATATACTTGTTCATTGTATTATGCTTTGCATGAGGAATAAAATCATTTGAATCTTGAACAAACAAATATAAATATTAATCATCATTGTTTTATATTTTCTATAAAATGAAATGTAGATTTCCATATTTTTTAGGCTTGAGGACTTTTCACTTATTTAATGATATTAAATGAAGAAATTGATTTATAAGATATTCCTATTGCATTTTGAGATTCATATCATAGGCTTGTTTTTAAATAGAAAGACACTTTGAAATTCGGGTGCAATGGACGATCGGTAAAGCAGAGGATTAACTATGTCTCGCGATCACACTAATAGACAATTTTAGGCCTTTTTATTACATATCAATCAAAGTCAAGGCTATTGTCTTCTGTTTAAACGATTTGTAAACTTGGGACCGGGATGGGATGCAACAGAGAAGAAAAACAGAAGACGTAGACAAGGGGTGACATTAAGGAAGAAATGAGAGATGGAGAGAGAGAGAGAGAGAGAGAGAGAGAGAGAGTGTGTGTGTGAGGAGGGAATGGGAACTGAGAGAATGTAAGAAGGGCATAGTTTGGAAATGAGGTTTAATAGGGTGAAGCTAAATCTTGTAAATATTGTTTAATTTATACTGAGTCGATAAGAAAACCCTTCCTTGACGAGGCTATTAATTTCATCACTTTTATATTTAACGTGTCTTTATTTTTTCTTTAATTATTGTGTCTTTATTATCTTTAATCATAAACATAATTATAATAGATAGCCTATGCTGATATTACTAGCAGTCGGATTGGATCAAATAGACTCGGAATTGGCGGTAGAAGGCGTCAAATAAAGTTATGATTACTCTATAGAAAAGAAATTCATGAAAAGAAGTCAGAAAGATCAAAGATCGAATCGATAGAGGACATAAATGGAAATAGGCTGATTCTGTGCTATGTATTTATGAAAAGTCACATGGATTGGAAAAGAAGGCCTTCGGTAATAGTTATTTAGTTGATCTTGTTCTTATTCCGTCATCCGTGTGAGTCACTTCAAGGTTCAAATTTTACTGTTATTTTGTATTCTCTGTTTTCCTGATTTTTTCTTTGCCGAATAAAAATAATAATATTAATGAGCAGAATACTAGGAATATTACAAAATTGAGAAAAGAAGTCACAGGCCTATTAAAAAAGAATTGAATTATTAACAGAAAAGAGTGACGAAAGCATTAAGCAATTCAAGACTCAGTGAGGAATACATGACGTAGTTAAACATAATCAGGATCTCTCATACACTGAAAACAAAATGTTTCACTTAGAAAGTACATTTACTTTGCGATTCCTTATTATTTTGTAGACTAAAATCAACATTAAACAACATCTAGCTGACCAATAGCAAAAGATATCCAAATCTCCCAACAGTAAAACAAAATTAAAACAAAACAATTAACACATAAACAGCCAAACAATATGAAAAGTACAGTCGAATAGTTCTGGCCTACACGTCCCTTTAAAGTTAGGACAGAGAGGTTGTAAACATGTTTAGATTTCGGTAAAATTCCTTCAAATTCACGAATTCTACCTTATTAATATTATTACCTAATAACGAGAACTTCAAGGAGAATTATCATAACTTAACTGAAACATCATACCAGTATAGTATACCATCCATATTCAAATCAAAAGACTGGTGAGCTTTTTAACTTTTTGATTTGAAATACCAGCTCAAAATAGCAGCTCAAAGAAAGTGCAACCAGTGTATGTGGCTGCACCTCGAGGTTGTTTTGATGGAATTGGAAGCTTCTAAATCCATTCCTCTCCATCATATTTTCCATCATATTCCACCCTTTTTTTCTCTCGATTGTTTTCCCTCGCGCCACCTGTTGAGCTTTTCCTATCCCGAAAAAACGATGTAAGTAATGTCGTGAAGAATTTATCCCGACATAAGCGCTGTCAGTCTCTCGGCGGGGGACAGCCGGCTGCTCCGGCATCGTGACCATGGGTGCGCCCGGTCGAATCCCATCATATTTATTGCCAGCCTAACATTAACCCATTGGTTACTGAAACAGAGTTGTCCCTGTATTATGCCTATGCAGGCGCGTACGCAGGATTTTTTCAAGGGGGGGGGGGGGGGGGGGGGGGGGGGGGGGGTAAGAGGTCACTTTTTTTTTTTTGGTCCCAAAAAAATCGCAACGACTCATCCGACCGCTGAATAAGTGAAAATTTGACATTTTGCTCCGTTGGGGGGGGGGGGGGGGGGGGGGGGGGTAAGGTCAGCTTTTTAGGTCAACCATGGGAATACATTTTTTTTTTTTTTAATAACAAAAAAAAAAAAAAAAAAATCCAAAAGGGGGGGGGGGTTCAGAGAAATTTAGGGGGGGGGGGGGGGTTTTCACTCAAAAAATTACCAAAGGGGGGGGGGTTTAACCCCCCAACCCCCCCCCCCCCTTTGTACGCGCCTGTGCCTATGGGAAATAGAGAATTCAGTAGTCAACAACGGGTTAACAGACAAGTACTTTATACAAATCAAGGAAGCAGACTGGTGCGGTGTAAGTTTGAATGAAATTTTACAAAATATAAGAAAAATGTTATCAATACATATTCAAACTGGCTAAATCGGTAATGCACTGCAGTGGCGGATCAATTCGTGAGAAAATATGTAGCAGCGAATCAGCCGATCAGCCGGCGAATAAGCTGGGGGGGGGGGGGGGTAAAAGAGCACTATTTTTTTTCCAGCAGTTATTTCAAACTTCCGCCATTCTGTAGTTTTGTTGTTTTGTTATCTCTCTGCCGGCTTCATACAAATCAAATTTATTACTTGCCCTTTTAACAAGTAAAACATCCATCCAAGCAAGAACGAACTAAAGATATTGACAACCATGCCTATAATAGTGACATATAGTTTAGCGTTAAACTGTCTTTTACTATTTTTTAATGGTTGCATTTTAAATGAAGCAGAATATCGTTTTCTTACGTTTAAACTTTCAATCTTTCAGAAAACATAATTATTACTCTGAGTTTTTAATCCACTATTTGATATAAGTACTACATCTTCCATGGGCGGCATAGGGACGAAAAGACCCGTAGGCTGTAAATAGTTTTGTTATATTGCTTGAAAGACTGTCAAAACGCATGGGATCTATTAATGACAAATATGACGGGTCAACATAATCACTTATTATTATGATATCATGTTTATTTTCTTCTCTTTTATCTGTGTGCGTCAGTTATGTGTGAAGTGCGTCACATGACAAAATCTCTTTAGTGTGACGTTTTGACATGTTACAATCATTATTTGCATGCAATTTTCGAAGTGTATTCTGTTGTGTGCTCATGTGAATAAGATGTCAACGAGAAAGCTAGGGAGCCGAGAGGTATTTTAAAATTCTCACGCAAAACTGCAGCTGAAGATTCATGCGAAATATTCAGAATTATACGATTCCACAAATGCCCCATTTTATAACATCAGATTAGTGCGTGTATGCATTATAATACAACCGATGGCAAAATGCAGTAATAGACTGAAGATGATTATGTTCAATTGTATGATTTTTCTGTTTAATTCATAGAATAAATACACATCAATGTACAACGGCCTGCCACTCCCCTGATACATATGGGATCCCCAACACTAAACTAAACTAATTTGGTTTTTAGTGTTTATACGTACATGTATTTCACATTTACGAATCCGATCATTTTTTAATTTAATTTTTGATCCTTTTGTATTACGGTAAAGTCTAAAATATCTGAACATTATTTTGTGAGACATGTGGAAAACATATGTTCTTGTTTGTAAAAAGAATCATTATGCAGGGAACGACAAAATAACAATAAATAATACCTGATTCATGTCAGAAAAAGGCTATGGAAAATGGAGAGAAAAAACAGAACTAATTGTCTTCCGTGTCATGGTAACTGATAATTCTGTATAGCTTTACCTTATATTTTATAGGGCGTGAGTCCATTCAATATGTGAATTGGTAAGGCTTGATTAGCATAACTTTGAGGTATATGTCGGGATAAACATGACTGTGTTCAATTTGAAGCATGAAAAATTGATGAATATGAGATTTTTTTTAATGGCCTTGGTCCCTCCGTCTTATAATCATGATAATAAAATAACGATAATTTTTTTAAAGTTCAATTCGATCGCATTTTGTTTCAATCGCAAGTCTGTTCTAAAAAGATTGTTTGTAAGTTTGCGATTGATTGAATTTGAAGAACCTGCGATCAATCCCCATCTGTCAAAACTCTTTGTATAAGACAGAACCAAGGACTGTAATTGTTAGCAACATCATGAGCAATGGACATAATGATATAAACAAAATAATTTTTAAAAATCACAAAACACTTAAGACCCGAGACTCACCATATTGTGGAATGAAATGCTGTATTCCTTCTCGAAAAACACAAGAAGCGGAAATCGTACACTTCCTGCTTCAGTTTGTGAAAAGAAAAATTGTCTTTAGTAAAGAAAAAAAGTTTGGGAGTTCTTGATCGAGAAACCAGCTGTGTTTTGTCCTCGGGATACTGGTAAAAAGCAGCAGGTACAGATTGGAAGAGGCGGTAGAGCTGGTAGAGATATCTTTTTCTATTTTGAAAATTTCCGTTCAAGCAAAGGTCCGGGAAATCCGCAAATATTTTCAAGAAAACTAATCTCCCAAATGAAAAACACTTTAGATACGATTATTGATTCAAACACATGCGATCAAAAGTGGATTTACATGTCCATGACTATAACAGTCGAGAGAAATGAGTTGAAGATTATGGCGGGCGTCTTTTTTCGCCCGGCGGTGATTTTCAGAAGCGTTCTGAAACAATACGAAATATGTGGTTGTTGTGACCGGAAAGATATTTCTCCGTTGTACTTTTTACTTCCTAAACTTTCTCTCTCTCTCTCTCTCTCTCTCTCTCTCTCTCTCTCTCTCTCTCTCTCTCTCTCTCGCTCTCTTTGTACATTGGACCAATTGGAACCAATCAATGGTGACGTAGCGGCCCTTCGGCCAATCAGGGACATCGCTACACCACCAGCCCCTGGTACCACTGTCGCTGCGGTCACAGCGTAATGAGAAGAGACAGGAAGAGTGGTGAAACACATGTAATTTGGCTTGCTTTCACAATGGTTCATGCGCCCAGAGCAAATATGAAATGAGGTATTATATAGTCATAACTTTAATAGATAATCAAACAAAAATTGTTTAAATGATACTACTGAGAGTGAGTGAGAGGATACATGAGGAAAGGAAGATAATGAATCACCCTGTAATATGGACCAACGGTTGATATAATATTGCCAACCAAGATGAAATAAATTATTGTTCTTACCTTTTATTGTCAATCTTTATAACTATTTAGATTGATCAGTACAGTTTAGAGAAGATATAAACTTTATCTAACAAGAATAAACAACACTACCACAATCGCTTCATGAAAAGGGATTAGAACAAAAGCTATCCAACTTTATGGGCAACATTGTATATTGCTTGAAAGTTAATACCATAAACGTATCTTCAAAGAACGGTTTGTCTTTTTGGAAGTACGGATACGGAAGTAAGGAATATTTTTTCTTAAATAAAAAAAAGTTAAACTAAAATCAAACGAAGAAGCAATATGTTTCAAGAACACACTTTGTGTTAGTAATTGCCTATGCCCTCACGGTGACCATATGGTAGGAATATTCCCCAGTCCCATGGAGTGGAGATGGTGCACATTGTGCGTGAATCAGTCCGATGACCGGGGTCATTATTTAAAGCGCTTAGAGACGGTATTCCGTATTAAGCGTTATGTCAATTCAGATCATTATTATTATTATAGCATCGTCCACTAAAGATACTTTGTCTCTTTTGCAGCCAACATCAAATTCTGCAGAACTTTGCAGGAATTTTGAATATGTCATGTACTATGTCCTATCTGTGAAATTTATATTCAAATAATGCTAGAAAACCCGTGTACTTACTAGACTTCACTGTCAGACACTATTGAGTGACTGACTGGCTTTTTTCTACTTTGGTAACATAGTCTATATAAAATGAGTTGTAAAGGGTATTATGAGCATTTTTTCTACATCAATAACCCACTTCTTGTAATGGCCAAAATTAAACTGATTGAATCTTTGCGCAGCATAAAACGTCCGACCATTCGGTACAATGGTCTGAAAATCAGACTATTTCTTACTGGCTCTATAGCTCTTAAGTCGATTCGACAACTAATAGTCGTTATTTTCCCACTTAAAGACATTTTCAAGCCCCCTGTTTTAGGGAATTTCTATAGTATTATCTATCAAATGGCGTTGGAATTTAACCTTTTCATGTTTCTGGCCTGCAAATGGGACATAGTATCTTTAAATCGTCCAACACTACATTAAAAAAGGCCTATTACGTGATCCGAGCATAATGTATATGGGATATACAATATGGAATTCTATTCGGAATGATTTTTCAAAAGTCTTTGCTGTCGCGTAAATAGATTTTCAGTTAATGAAATGCCACAGGATTCTGAATATAAACACTATCAAAAGGATGATTTAAAAAAAAAAAACATTTAATTCTCATTCGGAAATCGGTTGATTAGAGGGTCAGTCTGTACAGATGATACTGCATCGTTGGAAGTTCATGCATATTGTAAATATTTTTGTTAAAAGAAAATGAAACCCCCATGAGCAGCAACCTCTGTACCCAAGTGAAAATACGTCCGAGGCACTGGTACAATCGTTTTTACTTCATCCATGAATGTAGAAAGCGTTTGTCTGCAAATGCCTAACTTTTTGGTGTCATCTTGCAAAACCTTTCCCCGATGGAACCCTAACTCCTTCAATTCAATGCCAAAAAGTCGAGAAATTTATGAACGGTGTTCCGCTTAACGGTTCCTTTGGGACTTCTCCTCTTTTTTTTCCTTCGAAGTAATGGAGGAAAAATATCCACGGATCATCATGGCAAGATCCAAGATGTAATTTGGAACAAATCTGTTTTTAATTTTTTTTTTTTATGGACAACACTCAGCACCAAAAATAAAAGGACACCATTGATTGATAAGATTTTACTATAAACTTATCTTTCATACATAAAGACAAACATAAATTAATCCTCTTTAAAGATGAAGTTGAGTTCTGGTCATGCGATTGCATTGTGAAAAAAACGGTGTGGAATCGACCAGAAAAGGTTGATCATCTAGCATATAGAATATGTGTGTATTGCAAGGTTCTGGAATCATCAAAATGATAAGAAATTTGGCCAAGTCTTGGTAAAGTTACAAACACTGTACACAGAAAGATGTATATGGGACTACACGAACACATGGGGTAAAAATCCTACCCGGATTTTTACAATGTTACATGACATATTTAGAATATGAAGGCATTTGAAGAGCAATGCTTTTCAGTGAACATGTCTTATCTGATGTTCTTCCACACTTGCATAATAAGAATGATAATGCTCACAAATTATTTTTCATCTCTTCCCAGAACTCAAACTTCTCTTTAAGATGATATGCAATCAGAATCATGCTATTTATGAGTGAGTGAGCATAGACGTTTAACAATAAATGAGTATCTGAAAGAAAACTGCAAAAATGTGACATCTGGCCGTTCGAATATTGATTAGCATTGGAGTTATCATTTGGCTCGTCCATTATTTTGGAAGAAAAGGAGATGTATCTTGATTGTGCTTGTCAAAAACTATGCAGACCCGAAACTAATTATACAGCTCAATCCTTCTCATGGTTTCTCACTCAGAATGTCTTACAGATGCACACTGTTCATCAACTATTAAATGACCACTTGCTCTATTTTTGGAATATTCTTAATCGGACATTTTAAAGGTTAAATTAATGTGCCCATCCTCGTATGAAAGTTCAAAACTTGATCATAGTTTATGTTGGTAGAGTATATATATTTGTTTAATCGATATACATTTCACTATATTTTAATGAAGGTTTTTGAACGATAGAAAGTGTCCACCATCTTTTTTTTCTCGCCGATTTTAGATTATGGTAGTGATACAGTGGGACAGCAGTGGCAGCACTATTTTTTTCTCTTTTTTTTTCAATGTTTGGTCCCATTTATTCCATCAGTGAATATTTCTGTTAAGTAATTGTTTGCACTATGGGCAGGATAGGGAGATTACAATTAACCAAGTCGCATAAACCAAACTGTGGGTTATTGCAGAAACAATATTCGATTCAATATAAACATTCAATTTCATGTAAAGGCAGATAACGGTAGTGATAAATCAAATGCAAAGAATAGAAGTCAGCAAAGAGAGAGGGAGAGAGAGAGAGAGGGACCACTCCTGATGAAGCATCTAATCACCCTTCTCTTCCTAACATCACTTTGCAATCTTTAGTCCGGGATAGGGCTAAATGGAAGAAGAAGAAGAAGAAGAAGAAGAAGAAGAAGAAGAAGAAGAAGAAGAAGAAGAAGAAGAAGAAGAAGAAGAAGAAGAAGAAGAAGAAGAAAAAGTAGGAGAGTAGGAAGAAGAAGAAGAAGAAGAAGAAGAAGGAGGAGGAGGAGGAGAAGAAGAAGAAGGTAACCAAAAACTCATCATCTTTGTCTTTACATGGATAATATGTAAAAAGACAGGAGCATCAAGTGACAGGGGTGTATCAACTTCTTTTCAAGATGCCTTCCCTCACCCTATCTGTAATAGAATTCTCTTTCTTCCTCATGTTCCAATATTTCCACTTTCAAAATTTGATGAGAGGGGAGGGGTGGTGGGGCATGTTTCCCTGGTGGTTTCAATCACCCCTTAGCTACACCACTGATGATAATAATAACTTTTTCATGCACTCATTCATTTACATTAAACGATATTTAAAACTTCATTTTGGTTCAGCTTATAATTTAGTTTTATTTCTGTATTTGTAATTCATATACATAACATACTGAAGAAATGAGACAAAATTAGTACAAAAAACAACAACAGTGTCATTTTAAAGAAAAACAAGATCAAGAAGGAGAAGTTTGTTGGTTAATACTTCTTATATAGCTTGAATGAATTGACTGATCAACTGCAACATTTCCATTTTACCTTTTAGCAATAAAATAAAGTCTAAAGTAACATAAAATGATTTAAAAGTAATGAATGAGAAGGCCTGGGAATGACCTTTGTACCAAGTATGCTGGAAACATCCTATTCCTGATGCATTCAATGTTAGACCATTACCCTAGAATTGTTATTCTTTAAAATAAGATACATACAAATTTGATTAATTTAATCCAAATCAAATTCATATACATGTACATCGTAGCATATATATAAAAAGCATACCAAAAAAAAAGAATTCTTTATGCAATGCTACTTAAAACAGTTTTAAAGAAAGTGCCCCCAAAATGGCTTGTATAACTTTGTACAATATGCATCTCAATAATTTGTATTTTGTGGATTTAGTAACCCTTACTGCAAAATAATAACTTTAAAAAAAACATAGTTTCAATCCTATTGCCGCAACATTTAAGTGTTGCATTTTACAAGTATCTCAATGATTGGGGTATAATGTGTGTTCATATCTATCATTTAAAAACAGTGCTTTGAAGGCTTGAACAACTTGATGATAACACAGTGAATTGGATTTCAACCGGTCTTCTCATTACAACTTATTTTAACACACAAACAAACAATTCCAAAACAGTCACACATACACATAAATTGAAGAAAAGTGTCTTAGTGAAACCTGTGAAAACTTTTTAACCCAGTCCCCTCACCTCAAACAAAAAAAAGGGGGGGGGGGATAGATTTTACCATCAGCACTGTTCCAAAACTACGATCCGATTTCGAAAGAATTTGCAATGGCATTTTTGACATGAACATTCAAACATGTAAAATCATAATGACTGAGAATCTGAATAATTATATGGTTAATAAAATCTAAATTTCATGGAATTTCAAGCTTCCTTGGGGAAGAGAAAGGCTAATCGGCTCAGAATTGAAGTAACGTCACACCAGTCGTGCACGATTGTCTACGATTTGAAGATAATCTGCTTTTATTCTGACTACATATGTAGAAGAGATAAATACACTAACGTTCCTATCATTGGAACTCTTATCATTATTTAGAATCACCATTTTTGGGGATTACAGGAGGATTTTATAGTGTGTGATGAACTTTAGAGCCCTGCACTCTTACTACCCAGGCTTCAGCCAAACTACCATGATAAGGTGCTCATGCATTGCAAGCATTAAAGGAATTGACCAGATACCCACTAACTATACCTGGGTGAAGAGAGGCAAATGTTGGTTAATGTCTTGCCAAAGGAAATTAGATATTGTTATCCACTAGACCAAGAACCCTCTACTAGTATAGTACCGGGTCTTATGTGTTAAAATGCATCTGAGTGAGAAGTAAAACCATTACATAATAATCATTATATACCGATCACATTACCGCTTTACGTAATTCTCCATGTGCACTAGATCAAAGAACTTAAAGTCAAATTGGCTACATCATGGTGTGCTCGTGATCCAATGTCTATATCGAATCTCAAAGTCTCTCAGTTCACTTCTTGTGGAAATAATCCTCCGTATGAGGGAACTTTTGGGCGTCGTAATCCGGGTCCTGTCGCAGACGTTGCCTGATGACGCTCTTTATCTGCTCATCGCACGCCTCCGATAGTCCAGGGCTTGTCTGGATATCGTTTGCGAAGCGCTCCTCACTGGTGACAGGACTAGCTCCCACTGAGCGTACCGCCCTCTGTAGGAGGTTTGAGACCAGGGGTCGAGTGTCGTGACCTACGGCTGGTTTCCTGTCCTGGGATAGCTGGAAACATAAAAAGCAAAGAAAAAAGGATAGAATCAGTCTATGAAAGCAGTATTAAACTTTTAAATTTCATTATCTCTCTCTCTCTCTCTTTCTTCTATATATATATCTCTCTACAAATGTATCTCTCGGTCACCCACTCAAACTCGTCTTGCCTAAATTGCATCTTGCATGTAACTGAACTTAAGGTTCCTGCATCCAACAGAAAATGATGCTACCCAACAACTGGTTGCAGTAGTCTCGATTTCGTCCATTTTTACATAAATGTTTTTATACAATCGTCTTTTTTCCCATCCCACACGGAGCGCGAAGTCTCCACTTATCACACGATCCCCGAAAATATACCCATCAAAAAAAATAAAAGGACTGTCTCTGTTTTAGCATTGAGGGTGTGTTATTTGCACAGGGGATCAGGCATGCCACACAGAAACAGACCACGCAGTGGACTAAGGGTGCGTTCAAGCGACACTTTTTCACCCGAGAAACACAGTTTTCAAAGACGTTTAGTTTGAAACACGGTTGCGTTCAAGCAATTTCAAGCGATTTTTTGTTGGTTGTAAAAATAAACGCTTCAAAAACACAAACATGAAATGCTGAAAAAGATGTGTTTTGTAACGTGATGCTAAAAATTGCTTGAACGCAATGGAGATCTCAATCATGATTCTATGATGCATTAGTTTATATTGTGGCCGACATTAAACCGTAAAATAATTCAGAAAGCACGCGCCGAAGTTGACTTATACTTTGTGGGTGAAACTGCACAGTGTGATCCGCAGTGGCTGGACTTGATATGAGCGAGAATCAGCGTTGATGGAAAACCGCTTGAACGATCTCCCGCAGTAACCGCGTTTTGATTTGTGATTCTAGCTTCAAAAAATTGCTTGAACACACCCTAGATTGCGGTTGCCAAGAGACCTGCAGGTGGATCATAAGAGACTTGTTTTCTGGGAGTCCCTCAACCTTTACCCTGTACCCTATTGACTTCTCCCAGCATGATGCTAAATACAAAATGACAAACTTAGACCCAGAAAACATCTGCTCATGCATTTCCGACTGCTTCGGTTTGATAGCATATGCAAGAACATGACTCTGTTGAAAATTGAAGCAAGCAATTTAACACCACTGAATGAGAAATAAGCTGATAAATTGAAAGGAAAATTGAGAAAAAAATTGCTTGTGTAAAGTGAGCTGTTTAATACCGTGAGATGGAAATGTTTAAAATGGAATGCTTGTTGCAAGCGAGAGGATATAGTGATAACGAAAGGAAGGACTACTACTATTGACAAGGCACTTATTACATTTCATGTGGATGCCCAGCATGGATGAGAGAAGAGCGAAGGACAGAATAAGAACTAAGACCTCCCCCCCCCCCCACAAGGAAAAGAAAAAAGTTAACAACAGAGTAGTCCTTCCTTTTGTTAACACTACATGTATATCCTCTCGCTTGAAACGAGCTTTCCAAGACAAGTATGTTAGTGTTGCCAGAAGCCTGAACACACTAAGAAGTAGGATGGTCCATCCAAAAGACCAAATTCTTAGATAGGAAAAGACAGGCATTGTGTACAATTACTTGCACAGATTATAACAATTTGTATGTACTGGAAACTGGCAGAACTCTTAATGAGCGATTAAAAGAACACAAAAGAGCCCTCAGATTGAGCAACCCATCCCATTCAGCTTAAGCTGAACACGCCCTCAAAACAGGACATACTGTAATATTGGATGGGAGGATGCCCTCATTATTGACTTTCAAAGCAACTTCTGGTCAAGAAAAGTGAAAGAGCCAATATGAATTAAGAGGATTAACCCTACACTAAACGGGTAAATATCGCTATTCATAAGGACCGCTATTCATAAGGTTCGCTATTCATAAGGTCCACTGTTCATAAGGACCGCTATTCATAAGGTCCGCTTTTCATAATTGGAGAAAAGGGTCATTATTCATAAGGGTCGTTGTTCATAAGGACCGCTATTCATAATCAAAGAAGAGGGTCGGTATTCATAATATTAGAAGAGGGTCGCTATTCATAATACGAAATCGGGGTCGTTATTCATAAGGGTCCCTATTCATAATATTACAAAAGGGTCGTTATTCATAACACAGAAAGAGGGTCGCTATTCATAATGCAAAATGAGGGTCGCTATTCATAATACGAAATGAGGGTCGCTATTCATAATGCAAAATGAGGGTCGCTATTCATAATACGAAATGAGGGTCGCTACTCATAATGCAAAATGAGGGTCGCTATTCATAAGGGTCATTATTCATAAGGGTCATTATTCATAATCGATGAAGAGGGTCGCTATTCATAATACGAAATGAGGGTCGCTATTCATAACAAGAAATAAGGGTCGCTATTCATAATAGGAGTAAAGCGTTGCTATTCATAATACATAATGAGGGTCGCTATTCATAATAAGAAACGAGGGTTGCTATTCATAATATGAAAAGAGGGTCGCTATTCATAATAGGAGAAGAGGGTCGCTATTCATAATACGAAATGAGGTTCGCTTTTCATAATAGGAGAAGAGGGTCGCTATTCATAATAGGAGAAGAGGGTCGCTATTCATAATACGAAATGAGGTTCGCTATTCATAATAGGAGAAGAGGGTCGCTATTCATAACAGGAGAAGAGGGTCGCTATTCATAATACGAAATGAGGTTCGCTATTCATAATAGGAGAAGAGGGTCGCTATTCATAATAGGAGAAGAGGGTCGCTATTCATAATAGGAGAAGAGCTATTCATAATAGGAGTAGAGGGTTGCTATTCATAATACGAAATGAGGGTCGCTATTCATAATAGGGTCACTATTCTTAATAGGAGTAGAGGGTCGCTATTCATAATACGGGATGAGGGTTTTTATTCATAAAATGAAATAGGCCTAAGCAATATCCAAAATGCTCATAACAAATGGAAATATTGGACGGAGGACACCCCCAAGGCGATACATGGCCCTAAATATTTGTCTTGTTTTTAAGTAGGTATGAAATTTGTTATCCAATGTTGTAAACATAATTGAGAATTTAAATCAATAATATTTGAATCATGAAACATCCTCACGCTCACCTCCCCTTAATATTTATTTTCGGGGGGGGGGGGCTGAGGTGGTTTCCTTATTATATATATGGTCTTGTCACCAAAGTAAATTTTCTTAAGTTTGACTATCAGTTGAGGGGAGGGGGGGTCGCACAAGGGGGACAAATTACGATAGGATTATGTGTGTGTTATTTTTCCCTTTTTTGTCACCACTGGAGCGGGGGAAATATTTTAGCTAGATTAGGGGGATGTATTTTTATATAATTATCAAAGCTTAAAAGAAAATATAGGCCTACTTTAAAAAAAAGACATAATGAAGGGGACGCCACCGTTTGCATAATGCTTTACGGTCGCAAAATCGTATCTTATTTGACTTTAAATCTTGAAAATCTTACTTCCTTACTTATGAGGAGAAAAACAAAATCGTGCAATATTATATATTTACGAAAAGCTTGAATATTGTATATAATCTAACTCTCTACAACCAGGGGCGTCGCTAAGGGGGGTGTGGGGTGCGACAACCCCACCTGTCAAGATATTGTCGGTAAAATTGCGCTGCTGTCGGGAAAAATGAGAAAAGGGGGAGGGGAAAAAGGAGAGGGAAAGGGAAAGAAAAGGAAAAGAAAGGAAAGAAAGGAAAGAGAAGAGAAGAAAGAAAGAGAAAAAAGACAAAGACGAATGAGAGGAAAGAAAGGAAAAGAAGGAAAAAGAAAGAAAAGGAGAAAAAGAAAAAAGGGGATTAAAGAGAAAGAGAGAGAAGGGTATGTTTGGTGGAGTCGCCACGTCGAGGGAGCAAGAAAGATACGCATAGATAATTTTGTTGCTGTGTCGGGTCCGCTGTGTCGGTATTCTTGCTCGATCTTCGTATACTATATTTATGTAGAAGTTTGAAGTCGGTGAGATGTATTAAGTCGGTAATTTTTTTTCCCCTACGAAGTGTGAGTTTTTATCGGATAAAGAAACATTTTTGAGAATTCAGACAATGATTAAGATTCGCTCGAATCGTCCGAATCGTCTTCTTTGTCTAATATTTTAATGAAACGTTAAAGCTTCCGCGCTTTAACGGGTTATTTTCGTTTCTTTTTTTCTTCATTTTTCGAATGCATTTCATGAACTAATGTAGATGAAATGAAATGAATGAATGTTGATGATGTGGGAGGAAAAAGGAGTTACCTAAAAGTCATTTCGAATATACTGAAATAACTTTCCATCTATCACTGTACGTCCCATATAATGTACACTAAACACTCATTACATGTCGTGGGAAGTTTAAAAAAAAAAGTAGAGCAGCAAGCCACATTCCCCAATACGCGCATACCTCCTAGTTAATTTCAAACAGCTCATCAATATGTAAGACCTGAATTGACCTCAATGCAAGCAAGCACATGCGCCTTACTAGGTAAACCATCTGCAAGTAAAGCATTATACAATGTACTAGGTCATCATGGAAGTTCTAGAAAACAACAGGGGAGGGATCAAAATAAGCTTTGAAGGGCCACTTATACGGGGAAAATGAATTCAGACAAGGATTAAGAGTAGTGAACGGTACAACTAATCGTCTTCTTTCTCTAATATTTTAATGGAACGTCAAAGCTTATGCGCTTCGCACCGGAAGGGGGGGGTGAAAATAATTTCGCCCCTGGCCCCGGATTTATAGGGTTAAATTTGTAGACATTGGGACATTGGCATTAACATATATATATATATATATATATGTTAATATATAAATGGTAGCTATTTTTGTCGGTATTCGGTGGCCTCTTCACCCCCCCCCCCCCCCTGAAACTGAAAAAGGTCTAGCGACGCTCCTGCCTACAACCCCCTTTTTGTCGCTTCCATCCTTTGCTGAAGGTAAGGGACATGATAGATCAACCCCTTGATGGCAACACTGCTACCCCCCAACCGCGCACCCCCCCCCCCCCCCCCCCCCCCCGTGAAACACAAACAGTCTACGCCATCTA